GCTGCCTTCCCAGCCTGGGTTTTATGGGGCTGGGAGCACCCGGGGACAGCAGGAGGGTCCAGGGCTGGCACTGGGTGGGATTCAAGGTCCCCCCAACCCAGCCCAGCCCAGTCTGGAATTCTGTGACAGGAGCAAAGCTGGACAGGCTGGGATCGGCGATCCCACCCTTGTGCTTTTCCAGCCCGGATTATTTTGGGGGAATTCAGCTCCGTGATGCACTCAGAGCCTCGGCGGCTGCTCCGGGTGTTGGAGCACGTGGAGGGCGCCTCCCGCCCAGGAATGATTAAAAAAACCCTTTAATTGCAGCACCGGAGTTCCTCGGAGCTGAGTCTTTGCCCATTTGCTCAATAATTCATGGCAGAGCCCGGTAATTAAATGCTAAAGACCCGATTTGCCTGGCATTGTTTGCAGTTCCACTGCTGCTTGAATGCAAGAAATTACCGAGTCATTTAATTGGTAATTAAAAGTAATGATTGCTTCCCATGCTCCAGGAATTACTCAGCATTTCTGGGGTTGTTTGCACACAGCAGAAACGCCCTCCCTGTTTTCCAGGCTGAATTCCTGTAAACTTATGCTTGGATTTGTGCTGAGGGAAGCCTCGTGCTGCCCCATCCTCTTTTAATGGCTCATAAAGGCCGGGAAAAATGCAAATTAACACAAAATGAGGCAGCAGGGGCTGCCCGTGGGAAACTCCTGGGTTTGATCCCTGTCCCCTTCCCAGGCTCTCCCACTGCACGTGGCCTTGGCTGGGTGGGTCTGGGGGAGTTTGGAATGTCCCGGTGCTTTTGGGGCTGGATTTGGGATAAGGGAATGTGGGGCTGTATTTATAAATATTCCATCCCTTAAACCGTGCACGGGCAGGGCCCTGGGGAAGTTGGAAACCCCCGGGAGGGGCTGGAGCTGACATTTCCCACATCCTCAGGGAATGCTGCCCCAGCCTCGGACGGGATTGCAATTCCTAAATTGGGGCCAGGGAATAATTTCCATATTTTTGTGCAGAGCCCTGGAGCTGAGCGTGGCTGTGCCATGCAGAACTCCAGGCACGGATAACCTTTGCTTATTCCCAGCCTGGAGTTACCCTGAGCTGGTTTTTTTGCTGCCTAAGCCCTTCCCTGCCCTTTCCTGCTCTGATTCCCAAATCGCCGGCTCTGGAGGCATCTCGGAGCCAGAATGTGAATTAATAATGTGCTAAGAAAATAAAGACACTTCAACAGCCTTTAAATCAAGGGGAACAGCCTGTTAAAGGCTTTGGACAAATCCCATTACTTTGTGTGCAGTTTTAGGGCTGGCAGGAATAAATCTCCCAGCAATTTATGGATGGTGACAAATTCTTTCAGGAAGAGCCGGCCCAGGGGATGCTCCTCGTTATCCAGAGATGCTCTGCAGGAGTTATGGAGCAGACTGATGTGTCCCACTGGGAGTGGCAGCACAATTTGTGGCCTCTGGGTCACCTGTCTGCCATCAAAATCCATTTTGGAGCCTGGGATGTCCCTCCCTGGGCTCTGGAGCAGAGCTGGGGTGACAGGACCAGAGCAGCAGGAGGGGACAGGGGCTGGGAGTTTCCTGATGTGGATGCATGGCAAGGAAAGGGGGATCAAGGAATTTTGTGGCTCTGGAGCTGCTCAAGCCTCTCCTGGGGTGGCTGCAGGGAACTGGACCCTGCTGGTGTCACCGTGTCCCCAGAGCTCCCTGTCCCCTGCCCCAGGACTGACCCCTCTGTCACTCCCGTTTTTGGTGTCACAAACCTCTCTGGCTCGACCAGGAAAGGCTGCTTTGGATGGAAAACTATTGGAATTTGGTTGGGATTGTCCACAGCCCTGGGCTCCTGTCTGGGGACACTCAGGGCTCCCTGGGAATTGGGGTTTCCTCCCTGTGTTTGCCTGACCCTGGAAATTCCTGCTCTGGGAATTTCCTTTTCCTCTTTTCCCCTTTGGAGCATCCAAAGGACCAGGACTGCCCTGGTGCCCTCCCCCCAGAGGTTCAGGGAAGCTGCAGGGGCTGGGATTCTGTGCAGGGAGAGCAATCAGGGAACAGCTCAGGTGTGAAACATCCCTCACCTGGCCAGGAGAGCTCTGCGGGGCCGGGCTTGGCTCGGGAAGGGGCAGCGAGCTGGAATTCTCTGCTTGAGCAGGGGAGCCTGGAAAGGACAGGACAGGACAGTCCCTTCCCTCAGAGTCACCAGGAAATGTTGGGAATGAGGCCTCAGCCCTCGGGAAGGGGCATTGAGTCCCCCTCAGTGCTGCCCAGGAGGGGTGGGAGGGAACCCCAGCAGTGCCAGGGGTTCTGGGAGAGCTTTGGTGTCACCCAGAATAATCATGGAATTGGATAAAACCTCCAAGGCCATCGAGCCCAACCATCCCCAGCCCTGCCAAGGCCACCCCTGTCCCCAAGTGCCACATCCCCGTGGCTTTAACCCCTGCAGGAATGGGAATCCAGCCCGTTCCGAGGCCTGCCCACCCTTTCCATGGAGGAATTTCTCCTCCTGCAGCCGCCCAGGCTCCCAAGAGGTCCAAGGTGATTTTATTTCACAAATGGTTTTCCCCCCAGCCACGGGCAATGTTTTTTTGCCTGGAACTGGAGCAGCCAAGTGTGGGATTGTCCTCCAAGCAGGAACAGTCACTCGGTGCCACAGGGCTGTACCCAGAGCAGCCAGTGCAGGCTCCACAGATCCCTTTGTCAGCACAAAAAAGGGCTCAGATCCTGCCGGAGGTTTCTGGCATTTTGTAGGGAAGGGAGCTGAAATTGGAGAAACACTCGGATTTCCCTCTCCCCACCCTGCAGGGCTGAGTGTGGGACAATGCAAAGGCTGAACCTCGTTTCATTATCCAGCAGGAAGCAGCTCCTTTCCTGCCTCCACCTGGAATTTCTTCAGCATCCCCCAAAGCCCAGATCCCCCTGAGGCTGCAGCTCCAAATCCCAGCTCTGAGGCAGGGCTGGGATTGATATTCCTGCATGCCAGAATTCCTGAATATTCCTGAATCCCTGTGCCTCAGGGCACCTCTGTCCCCAGCTTTTTGTGTCCTGAGAGGAACAACTCCTCAGCACGAGGATCTCCTCCAGCTCTGAGAGCCTTCCAAGGAGAGAAGGCAGAGTGGGAAGCTCCACTCAGCAGCTCCCACAAGGATTTATCCCTCTTTATCAAGGACTTTCTCCTTTATCAAGGACTTTCTCCTTTACCAAGGACTTCAGGAGAGGCAGAGGAATTTTGAGACTAAAGTCTTGAAATTAAACTTGAATTAAAGCGATGAATCCCAGAATGGCTTGGGGTGGGAGGGACCTCAAAGCTCCTCCAGTCCCATCCATGTCCCAGGGTGCTCCAAGCCCTGTCCAGGCTGGCCTTGGGCACTGCCAGGGATCCAGGGATGGATGGATGGATGGATGGATGATGGATGGATCCATGGGTGGATGGATGATGGACGGATGGATGATGGGTGGATCCATGGATGATAGAGGGATGGATGATGGATGGATCCACGGATCCATGGATGGATGGAAGGTTGGAGAGGGAGGCACTGAGGGACCTTTGGCCACATTTGGGCTTTGGGCACAGGGACAGAGGATGGATTTTTCCAGAGGAACTCTGGGAACTGCCAGTTCCCACACCAGGCTCCAGTGGCTCTTCCAGGAGCAGGTGGGAAGGAGACCTTCAGGAATTGTCCATCCATACGAGCAAAGCAATTTCAATTTGCCCCTGCTGAGGCTGCCCAGTGCCCCGGGCACCGAGCATTCCCTGTGCTGCTGGAGTGTGGAAAACTGCCCGTGGGCACCTCCCAGAAACCCCCCCTCCACCAGAACCGAGCCTGGCACAGCAGGAAAGCACGAGGCTGTTTCCAAATATTCCCAAGGAATTTTCCCTGCGGGAAGGGGACGCGGGAGCTGCAGCTCTCTGATCCCAAAAAGCTGCATCCCTGCAGGAAGGTGCCTGTGACCCCAGCTGTGAGCCCAGCGTGTCCCTGAGGCTGATCCTGGTCCCAGTGCCACGAGCAGGGGGGGCTGTGCCTGCCTGGGAATCCTGGAGCACCCCTGGACAGACACGGACACGCCGGGGACAGTCCTGGACCTCGGGGGGACAGGGCTGCAGGAACTTCCCGGGATCAGCAGGATGGATTTTGGGATCACAGGGCTGCAGGAACTTCCAGGGATCAGCAGGATGGATTTTGGGATGCAGGAGCTTCCCAGGGGTCAGAGCAGTTTTTTGGGATGCAGGAGCTTCCCAGGGATCAGAGCAGATTTTTTGGGATGAAGGAACTTCCCAGGGGTCAGAGCAGATTTTTTTGGGATGCAGGAGCTTCCCAGGGGTCAGAGCAGTTTTTTGGGATGCAGGAGCTTCCCAGGGATCAGAGCAGATTTTTTGGGATGAAGGAACTTCCCAGGGGTCAGAGCAGATTTTTTTGGGATGCTGGAGCTTCCCAGGGTTCAGAGCAGATTTTTGGGATGCAGGAGCCTCCCAGGGATCAGCAGGGAGGCTTTTGGGATGCAGGAGCTTCCCAGGGGTCAGAGCAGTTTTTTGGGATGCAGGAGCTTCCCAGGGATCAGCAGGGAGGTTTTTGGGATCACAGGGATGCAGGAGCTTCCCAGGGATCAGAGCAGATTTTTTGGGATGAAGGAACTTCCCAGGGGTCAGAGCAGATTTTTTTGGGATGCAGGAGCTTCCCAGGGGTCAGAGGAGATTTTTGGGATGCAGGAGCCTCCCAGGGATCAGCAGGGAGGCTTTTGGGATGCAGGAGCTTCCCAGGGGTCAGAGCAGATTTTTGGGATGCTGGAGCTTCCCAGGGGTCAGAGCAGATTTTTGGGATGCTGGAGCTTCCCAGGGGTCAGAGCAGATTTTTGGGATGCAGGAGCTCCCCGGGGGATCAGAGGGGATTTTTGGGGAGCGCAGGGTGCGGAGCCGGGGCGGGGGCGCCGCTCAGCCCCAGAGCCCGAGCACTCCCACGGTCTGGCTTTCCCAGGCAGGCGCCTCAGGAAACTTCTCCGGCTCCGATTGCTGCGCTCCACCTTTTATTCTAATTGATTCCGCATCGCCATAGGAACCCGCTCCGGCGGCAGCGAGCGCCGCCGCTCCCGGGGCTCCGGGGATGGCCGGGGATGGAGCGGCGAGCCCGGGGCAGCCAGGTACCGCATCCCGGGGGGCAGAGCTGGCAGCCCGGGACCCCCAGCCCGCACCGCTGGGTGGGCTCGGGGGCTGGCAGCCAGGGAATGTTCCAGTGGTGCCGTCCGGGAGGGTGGAGAGGGCAGGCGGGCGGGATTTGGGGTGGGAACAGGGTTGGATGGGGTTGGGAGAAGGGTCCTTGGCAGGGTCAGGGGTCTCAGAGCCTGGGATTTGGGGAAATCCATCCCTGCTTGGCTGGGGCTGGGCTGAGCCTTCCCGGGGCTGCTCCTGAACGGGATGGGACATCCCAGACACTCCGTGGGGCTGTTCCTCTCGGATCTCCCTGGATCCGGGCTCCGTCTGCCCCAAACTGCTGGATCCAGGCAGGATTCCAGCCTGGGGGAGCTCCATGGCTTGGGAGAGGGGCTGGAGCCCCCCAGCATCCACAGGCTGCTCCAGCAGGGAATGCCCCACCTGGAGGAGACCCTGGGAGCAGCTTTGGGACGTGAGGGGACTCCAGACATCCAAGGAATCCTGACGAGGCTCAGGATCCTCCCTGGGCATGTCCAGACCCAGGGCAGGATCTCTCCTGGATCCCTTTGTCCGTCCCTCAGGGCTGGGGCATGGAGAGGGAGCCCCTGGATCCTGCTGGGTCCTTGGGAAGGGCTGGCACTGCCTGGTCCTGGCTTTGCCCGCTTCTCCAGGGTGGGATGGAGCTGCTGGAGGGGCAGGGGGGGCTCAGCACCCCCCAGGCAGGGACAGCGTGGGAAGAAGGGTCTGGCCCTGGCAGGGAATAACAGGGAAGCTGGGAAGGGGAGCTGGACCCCAGTGATCCCAGTGGATCCCAGTGATCCCAGTGGATCCCAGTGATCCCAGTGGATTCCTGGCATGGGGAACCCCTTTACTCCTGCTGGGCCTGGGGAGAAGCCCTTGGGGCAGCCACAGGCAGGAGCAGATTCCAGGGATAAACACAGCTAAACAGGGATAAAATCAGGATAAAATCAGGATAAAATCAGGATTGTCCCAGCCCCATAAAACAGGGGAACAGCCCTGTGCTCTCCAGGAGCTCACACCCTGCTTTGACTGGGGCACAGACCCCTGGGGCTGGGGCCAGCTCCGTGTCCTGGGCTTGGATCCCCTTGGAAGTTCAGGTTTCCCTGGCAGAGCCCCTGGATGTGCTCCAGAGGCAGCCAGGCCCCGTCCCAGCAGCAGCATTTACTGAAAAAGGCAATGCAGAGGCTCCAGGAGCTGCGGGGGGAGCAGCAGGCTGTCCAGAGGGGCACGGAGCTGCCTCTGTCCCAAATTCCCAGGAAATCCAGAGCACAGAGCCACGCATGGGCTGGAAGGGCCCAAATTCCACCCAATTCCACCCAATTCCACCACCCCAGGCTGCTCCAGCCTGCCCTTGGACCCATCCAGGGCTGGAGCAGCTCTGGAACCCCCAATGATGAAAAGGCAACACATCCCAAAAGGGAACAAATCCTTTATTTTCAGGATAAATAATATTTAATACAAACAATATCTAAATGATAGGAAGACATGTATTATTAATACCTAAATAAATAATACCAGGCTTACCAATTAGCAGGAATTTTTCTCTTTTCTCCTAACTGTGCCTGATCCTCCCTGGATTTGGGACCTGAGCCAGTTGGGCCTCTCCAGGATTTATTTGTTTGTTTGTTTATTTATTTATTTATTTATTGCTGTCCTGAGCACCACAAAGGGGAATTATTTAACCCAATATATCCGTGGGAATCACGGAGAGAGGTTTAGGCTGGATGTTGGAAGAATTCCTCCATGGAAAGGGGTGGACTCCCCATTCCCAGGGGGATTTAGGATCTTGTGGGTGTGGCACTTGGGGACAGGGTCAGTGGTGGCCTTGGGATTGCTGTGTCTTGCCCTTCCCCATGGATAATGGGTATTGGATTTTGGATACTGGGTATTGGATTTTGGGTATTGGGTATTGGATGTTGGATAAATTGGATTTTGGGTATTGGATATTGGGTATTGGATATTGGGTATTGGGTGTTGGATATTGGATATTGGGTATTGGATATTGGGTGTTGGGTACTGGGTATTGGGTATTGGATATTGGATTTTGGGTATTGGATATTGGACACTGGGTATTGGATATTGGATTTTGGATTTTGGGTATTGGATATTGGGTATTGGATATTGGGTATTGGATATTGGATTTTGGATTTTGGGTATTGGATGTCGCTGCCAGGGAGGGCAGGGGATGCTCCTGAGCTCTCCCAGGGAGATGTTGGTTTTTTTTTTTTTTTTTTTTTCCTGGAGCCTGGATTTTCTGGAGCCTGAATTCAGGCTCCAGGATGCTGCAAGGGGATTTTTGGGTGGACATTCCAGGGGGGATGGTGTGGATGTTGCAGGGGGGATGGTGTGGATATTCCAGGGATATTGATGTGGACATTCCAGGGGGGATGGTGTGGATGTTCCAAGGGATGTTGATGTGGATATTCTAGAGATGGTGGTGTGGATGTTGCAGGGAGATTGGTGTGGATGTTTTCCCTGGGGCGATGGTGTTGTGGATGTTCTCCTGAGGGGGTGGTGTCAATGTTCTCCCAGGGAGGATGACGTGGATGTTTTCCCAGGGAGGTTGTCATGGATGTTCTCCCAGGAATGTTGGTGTGGATATTGCAGGGATATTGATGTGGATGTTCCAGGGAGGTTGATGTGAATATTCCAGAGACTTTGGTGTGGATATTCCATGGACGTTGGTGTGGATATTCCAGGAATGTTGGTGTGGATATTCCATGGACATTGGTGTGGATATTCCATGGTCTTTGGTGTGGATATTCCAGGGTCTTTGGTGTGGGTATTCCATGGATGTTGGTGTGGATATTCCATGGTCTTTGGTGTGGATTTCTCCCGTGCTGGCCTGGGACCTCTGGGAATTGCAGAGGTGTCCCGGGATGTGCTGCTGTGCTCCCTGCAGTGGCCACAGCCCTTTTAACCCTGTCCCTGTTCTCTCTGTCCCTCCCACAGCCCCAGACAGCCGGACCCCAGCTCGGTGACGGGGCTGTGCCTGGCCCTGCTCCTGTCCCCACGCCGCTGCAGCCAGGTGGGTGCCCCTGTTCCCTCGGGAATCGGCTCCCTCTGCTCCAAACCCGGGGAAGCAGCAGCTGGGCACGAGTCCCCAGCAGGAATGAGCCCCCCTGTCCTTGCTGAGTCCATCCTGGGACAGCTCCAGGCCCCACCCCGAGCAGCCCCTGCGTCCTTTTTGGTGGGGATCACCTGGGATTTGGGCTTCCAAAGGGTCCCTCAGCACCAGCCTGGGTCTCTCCCGGGATTGCTGGGGATTCATGGTCAGAGGAGCAGCCTCTGCACAGCACCTGGAGCTGCCCACCCGTGCCTTGAGCCCTCACGAGCGGCTTCCTGAGCTTGCCAGAAATCCAGAACTCCCTGAGCAGCTCCCTGGGCCTGCTGCTGCATCCCAGGGCTGGTTCCTCCTCCCCAACCATCCCTGCTTTCCCCACATCCCATTCCTCTTCCTTCACCATCTGTTTTAACACGTCCAACTCCTCCTCCTTCACCATCTCTGCTTCCCCCACACCCAATTCCTCCTCCCTCACCATCTCTGCTTCCCCCACACCCAATTCCTCCTCCTTCACCATCTCTGCTTCCCCCACACCCAATTCCTCCTCCCTCACCATCTCCCCATGCCCGTACCCCATCCGTGCTCCCTCACCCCATCCCTGCTCCCTCACCACCTCTGCTTTTCCCCCCAGGAGCTCTGGGCTCTCCCAGGAGCCCATCCCGAGGGGTTGCCCATGGAATAGGTGCTTTTCCAGGCGCCTGGGCACAGCGGGAGGCTGAAGTTGGTTGCCCCGGGGCACCCGAGCTCGCCGTGCCCTGGAGCCCCCGGCCTCTGCCATGAATGATGCATCCACCATGGATTATGAACTGCTCTCCCCGTCCCTGGTGGAGCACCCCGCCGGCGCCGCGGGCATGGACGCCGAGCAGAAAACTGTCTTTGCCTTCGTCATCTTCCTCCTGGTGTTCTTGGTGATGCTGATGGTGCGCTGCTTCCGCATCCTGCTGGACCCCTACAGCCGCATGCCCGCCTCCTCCTGGACGGACCACAAGGAGGGCTTGGAGAGGGGCCAGTTCGACTACGCCCTGGTGTGAGGGGAGCCCGGGGTGGGCTCCGGGTCCCCTCCCCGCGCTGGCCCCGGCCCCGGCCCCCCCTCCCTCCGCGGTGCTCCCCGCAGGGATGCTCCGGGCAGGGGGGCTGGCAGGGGGCTGCGGCCCCGGGGAGGTTTTCTAGGGGTTTCTCTCTTTTCTAAGCACTTTTCGGTTCTCTTGGCAGCCCGCGGGACGCTGGGGGCTGGACGGGGCTCGGGCTCCGCGCGGGCCCCTCTGCCCCTCGTGCCCCCGGGCACGGCGGAGGGGACGGGACGGGGCATGGCGGGACCTGCCCCCGGCCCGCGGGACCCCTGGGCTGGGCTCTGCCCGGTGCCAGACCCGAGCTTTGACCCCTCCTGCCCCCCCGTGCCCCCCGGCGGTGCCCCCCGGGGATGCCCCCGTGCTCCAGTGCGTGTCTGTGTGTCCTGTAGCTGAGCTGTGTCCGTCAGGGGTTTCTCGGCACCAGCCCCCAGTGCTGGCTTTGTTCCTCTCTGTGCCAGTCCCCAGCACCCCAAAAGGGAGGGGAGGGTGGAGACCCCCCCCTGTGCAGCCCCCCTTGGCCTCCAGCCCTTTCCCCTCCCCTCTGTCCCTGCCCAGCTGGTGACAACGCAGCGAGGGGCAGTCCTGGGGACACCAGGACGGGTCAGGGGTCCCCAAAACCCCAGGGGGAGGCTCCTGGGCCAGCACGGCGCTGGCAGCGCCCCGAGCATCCCTGCTGGGGTGCCCGGCCCTTCCGCGGCTCTGGCAGGGCTCTGGAAGTGCCGAGGGGCGAGCGGGGGAGCTGCGGGTGGCCCCGGGGCTGCCAGAGGCCGAGCTGGCAGCGGGAGGGTTCGTGCCAAGGGATTTGGGCCCGGGAGGGGTGGAAACCTCGCCCCCCCCGCCATGGAAATAAAGCAGCACCGTGCCGACCCCAGCCGGCTCCTGCTCCGCTCTGTGACGCGTCCGGGAGGGGAACGGACCCTCCCCAAATGCTGGCAGTGACCAGCAGGACACGGGGACACAGCCCGGTCCGGCACAGATCCCCTCGCACGCACGGAGCTGTCCCAGGACATTTTCCGGCTGGCCGAGCTCCCGTTTGTCCCTGCCCGGTTCTGTCCCCTCTCTCCCGGTTCTGTCCCCTCTCTCCCCGTTCTGTCCCCTCTCTCCCGGTTCTGTCCCCTCTCTCTCCCGGTTCTGTCCCCTCTCTCCCGGTTCTGTCCCCTCTCTCCCGGTTCTGTCCCCTCTCCCGGCCCGGTGCCGCAGTCCCGCCCGCCCTCTGCTGGCACCGGGCTCCGTCTGCGCTGGCAGCCGGGAAGCGCTTCCAAAAACCGGGAATATCAGCCTGGAAGGAGCGTCTGGGCTCCAGCCCTGCCATGGCAGGGACACCTCCCACTGCCCGGGCACTGCCAGCCCCAGCTGCTCTGGGAATTCCATCCCAGCCCCTCACAGCCTGGAATTCCTTCCCAATACCCACCCAAATTCCCCCGCTCCCGTGTGAAGCCATTCCCTGTGTCCTCTCCCTCCATCCTTGTCCCCAGTCCCTCCCCAGCTCTCCCTGGAGCCTTCTCCAGGCTGGACAATCCCAGTTCTGCCTCCAAGGAATCCTTCTCCAGGCTGGACAATCCCAGTTCTGCCTCCAAGGAATCCTTCTCCAGGCTGGACAATCCCAATTCTGCCTCCAAGGAAGCTCCAGGTCGGAGCTGGGCTGGCCCAGTCTGTGCCCACACAAAGACACAGCCCCACTTAACCCAAAATAATTTTATTGTTGCCGTTGCTTCTGATACAAAAAAGGAATTCCACAAAGAGCCACCTCTCTGTGCGGGACAAAGGGCACAGGTTTGGGGTTTCAACACTTTCCCCCCAAAAAAACCAACCAGCAAGAAATGTCAATATAAAACAAATTAAAAAAAAAAAAAAAAAAAAAAAAAAAAAAAAAAACCAAAAAAAAAAAAAAAACAACCAAAAAGAAAAACCCAGAAAACAAACCAAAACACCACACCAGAGAGGAGGAGAGGAAACTGAGCTTTGAGACTTTGGCTCAACACACGCACACAAACCCAGCTCTGCTAATTTATTATTATTATTATTAATACTTTTTGGATTTTGGTTTTTCTTTTTTTTTTTTTTTTTTCTTAAAAAAAGCACCTGTCGGAAAAAACAAACCAAAAATAATAATTAAAAAAAAAATAAACCAAAAAAAAACAATCCCAAACATCAGGCCACCCATCCTGTCACAAGCTCTGGGACTCTTGTAAAATCCAGAGTCTGGAGCTGCTTTGAAGAGTTTTCAAGTTTGCCTGGAGCCCCGATACAGTAAACACACACATCCCCCACCCCAGAGAAATTCCCACCCCTCCAAAAACAGGGAAAGCTACAGGAAAATGCACTCCTGACAGCACCGAGCCAGCATTCCTTTGGTGGTTTTCCATAAATATGGGAGGGTGGAGAGATACAGTGCAGAACGCTGGCCAGGAACCAGCACCCAGGAGGCATTTCCGTGGGAATGAGCACCTTTATCCCGGGAATGAGCACCTTTATCCCGGGAAAGAGAATCTTTTATCCTGGGAATGAGCACCTTTATCCCGGGAATGAGCACCTTTTTCCCGGGAAAGAGAATCACCAAAAATAATAATTAAAAAAAAAAATAAACCAAAAAAAAACAATCCCAAACATCAGGCCACCCATCCTGTCACAAGCTCTGGGACTCTTGTAAAATCCAGAGTCTGGAGCTGCTTTGAAGAGTTTTCAAGTTTGCCTGGAGCCCCGATACAGTAAACACACACATCCCCCACCCCAGAGAAATTCCCACCCCTCCAAAAACAGGGAAACCTACAGGAAAATGCACTCCTGACAGCACCGAGCCAGCATTCCTTTGGTGGTTTTCCATAAATATGGGAGGGTGGAGAGATACAGTGCAGAACGCTGGCCAGGAACCTGGGAATGAGCACCTTTATCCCGGGAATGAGCACCTTTATCCCGGGAAAGAGAATCTTTTATCCCGGGAATGAGCACCTTTTATCCCGGGAATGAGCACCTTTTATCCCAGGAATGAGCACCTTTATCCCGGGAATGAGCACCTTTATCCCGGGAAAGAGAATCTTTTATCCTGGGAATGAGCACCTTTTATCCCAGGAATGAGCATCTTTTATCCTGGGAATGAGCACCTTTATCCCGGGAATGAGCATCTTTTATCCTGGGAATGAGCACCTTTATCCCGGGAAAGAGAATCTTTTATCCTGGGAATGAGCACCTTTATCCTGGGAATGAGCACCTTTTATCCCAGGAATGAGCATCTTTTATCCTGGGAATGAGCACCATTATCCTGGGAATGAGCACCTTTTGTCCCGGGAATCAGCACTTTTAGTCCCAGGAATTAATCAGCGCCTTTCATCCCGGCTTGGTGGAGAGCTGCAAAGGATTCCTGCAAACCCAGGGAATGGCCCTGCAGGGATCAGCTGGGAGAGGCAGGAGGGGAAGCCCAGCCGGGCAGAAGGGGCTGCAGACCCCCCAGAGCAGAGCGTCATCCCCAGAGGTGCTGACCCCACGGGGACAGTCCCCATGGCTGACCCCAGGGACATTCCATGTGTCTGATCCCAGGGATATTCCCATGGCTGATCCCAGGGACATTCCCCGTGGCTGACCCCAGGGACATTCCCCATGGCTGACCCCAGGGACATTCCACGTGTCTGATCCCAGGGACATTGCCCATGGCTGA